TTATTACATTCTTCTTCTTGTCCACCTTTCCAGATCCCCAGTAATCCAGCTGTTGTTTGAATTCAGAAATAAATTTTATTGTTTTATGTATTTAAAGGGGGAGATAGAAGAACAGACCAGATTACTTTTGTTGAAATTTCTTTTTTCTTTTCAGATTCTCATGCCATAAACTTTGCCCTTCTAAAGATACAGTTCAGTGGATTTTATTATATTTAGAATATTCACAAGGTTTCTTTCTCCCTATCCCCTGTCAGCTAATTATCTTTCTGTCTCTATGGATTTATCCTACTCTGGACATTTGCTAGTTTTTTGGGGGGTGGGGGCTACAGGGTCTTCCTATATAGTTCAGACTGGGCTTCAACTCACTGTGTAAACCATGCTGGCCTTGAACTCGTGGCAGTCTTCTACCTCAGCCTCCCAAATCCTGGGATTAAAAGCATGTACCGCAGTGTCCAGCCGTATGTGGCTTTTATGTCTGGCTTCTTTCACTTAGCATGTTTTCAAGTCTCATATTTAGTATGCTTTGGTACTTTATTCTTTTTCTGGCTAAATAATATTCCATTGTATGTATGTACAGTTTGCTTATCTATTCATCTCTAGATTAGCACTTTAGATTTCTGCTATTTCTACCTTTCGGTCATTATGAAATAATACTGCTAATGAACATTTGGTTGTGGACATGTGCTTTTACTTCTCTTGGAGTGAAATTACTGAGTCAAATAGCAACTTTGAGTGACTGCCAAGCTTTCCACAGTGGCTATACCATATTATGTTGTCTGTACACCCTTACATCGTACCATTTGAGATTTTAAATTGTACAAAATAATAAATGAAATCTTCTACAAATATCTGACAGCTAACATACTATTCTAATGTAACATCTCTACAGGAAAAAATATTTATAATGTCTAAAAATAATAACTTTCTGTTCAGTCACTGCACCAGAAATTCAGTAGAGGTGGTTAGCTTTGGATTTTTACCTAACGCCAAAGTATTTATTATTTTTCTATATATATGACTGAGAACTTAATACTATTGTTAGTATTTATTTTTCAGTGACATATTAGTTTATAAATTAGTCCTTCACCTTCAAATCATATTGGTTTCTGTGCCTTTGCTTGTAAGAAAAAAAAAACTAGCAGCTTCATTTATTATTCACAAAATTATTACATATAAATTTGGCATACTAAATGTATGACTTCATACTTAAATATGAAGTTATAAGGTAACAAGCTCATGTTTTTTTCTTTTGTATTAGAAACAGTAAATGATACCTCTGTGGTAACACAAATGAGGAAAAAATCTTTAATATATTTTGTATAAAATTGTTTGCGTAATATAAACAAAAATGGTCCATTGTCCAGTTTAGGTAAAAAGCACATATGTTCCAATAACAGAGGAACAGTGCTAACTGAAACAAACATTTTTCAGTGACACACAGGTATTTGACATTTGCCAGCCCTAAACCCAAGCGTTTACCTACGAATTCCATTTTTCTCACCAGGAATTCTCTTACTCAGTCACTCCACAGATACTTGTAGAGTGTCAGATTCTATTCCAGCATTAGGATATACTTGTCATGAAAATAGACCCAGGTTTCTTCCCCAGGTTGCTTCTATTCTAGTAGAGAAGGCAAACAATAACTGTATAAACATGTAAATTGGTAGTTATAACGAGTCCTGTAAGAAAAGTAAAGCAGGTTATGGGGTTGGAGAGTGACAGAGAAGGGACACTGGATACTGCTTTAGATAAATTGATCGGGGAAGAGCTTTCTGAGGAAATATATCCAAATAGAATTGCTCCTCACATTCCTGCCTTCGTCGTGCCTTGTCTCTGTATTCCCAGTATTCATTTGCCTCAAAATCTGATTGGAGAAAGAGGTGGAATCCGGAAGCTTTTTGATCCGTAGCTCAGAATATTAAGTGGAGTTGAAATATAAAGTTCTGAATTTGTCTCTGTTATGAAAAAACATCTTTACCTTGGAAAAATAAACACTTTATTAGAAAAGCTTTGTTCACAAAGGCAAAAGGCTAAGCTGGCAATCTTGTTGCACGTTATTTGATTACTGTAATGACCTCTCTCTATATCCATGTTAAACTCAAGACAACAAAACTGCTAATGGCTGTCATTTATGAAGTGCCAGCAGGGAGAGTTACAGATGTTTTGTCATTTAATTCTCCCAGCCAAACTTTATAAAGTAACTATTATATCTCTTAATTACAAATGAGGACGGTAAGGCCTAGATGCCGGACAACTGTCAATAGCAGAGTCAGGATTTAAGCTTAGATAAACTTAACTGAGGGCCTCTATTCTTTCCAACATCCGTATCTTGCCTCGCTTGACAATGTTACAAATAATATTTCAACACTTAGAAAAACAGTAGCCCTACATTTCAAAATACCTTACAGTAAGATTATGTAGTTTAAGTATAATGTGCATATATATTCCGTGTTTAGGGTTTGGTAGTGTTTATATTTGTTGTATTATTTTATATCAGGTATTAAGAAACTAAGGATTTTTTTTAAACTGCCTTTACTGAGCACTACTTTTCATTCAAATACATAATACAGTATAATGCCAGGCACTGTTTTTGGTGCTCATACTAGTACCACCACTGTTTATTGACCATCTTGTATTTTCCATGTATTACAACGTTTAATCTTCACAGTAACTCTCAATGATAGATATTTTTATACTTATTTTATAGGTGGGGAAACTGAGACTCAGACTTAGTAAAATATCCATAGTTAAAACAAGTAAAATATCCATAGTTAAAACAGTGTATGTTGGAGGAAGCTAGAGCTCTTAACTGTAGAGCCCTATATCATTCTCTTTCACAGAGGAACACAAAGATGCAGTCTCAGTTCTCCAGAAGCTAAATCCAAGATACTATGAATGTAGGCTAATTAATAATTTACGTATGTACATTATAAATCTCTGTGTGTGTGTTGTATGTGTATTTGTGCTGGGACTTGAACCTAGGATTTTATGCATGCTAGGCAAGTGTTCTATCACTGTACTTTACCCCCAACCAAGTAGGGACTATAACCCTAACCAAATGGTGGTGGTTGTGGTTGTATTAGTGGTATTATTAGATCTGTGCTTAAATATCTGGAATTCAAGGCATCCTGTACTAAAGAGTCAGGCAAGGGGGTAAGGGGGTTGTAGCTCAGTGATAGAGTGTAGAGTATGCACTCAGCCTTGAGTTCAAGGACCTGCAAAAAAAAAAAAAAAAAAGCTATGAGAATCCAAAGGGAGAAGGGAAAGTACTTGTGAAGGGACTGGGGAGAGTTTAGCCCAGATACTGGAAAAGCTGTCATTTGACATGGGCCTTCAAAAATAAAAGCTTCCATATAGATCAAATGTTAAACCACCAGCTGACAGAGGAGGATGTGTCTAACAGGACTAATTTAGTCAGGTAGACAGTTGATTTGGCCTTGCTCTTTATCAAGGACCTTGACCCTTGTCTAGAACAGAAGACTTACTGGTCTTTTGACATCTCTTTGTCCACAAACGAAGTACCTCACTCTGTTGGACTCCTGAGACAAAATATGTAAAGTTGAGGAGAAAAGAGAAATCATAAAAAATGCAAGGTCAGCCAGATCAGCCACTCCTTAAGAGTCAAAGGATCTTCTCATTGAGCTCCTGTGTGTGTGACCTTGAACCCCAGTTTCCTTATCTGTAAAATGATAGGATAAAGCTTCTCAAATGGTTGAGTAGCCTAGGAAACTAGCTGAATCCCACCTGTAGAGTTTCTGATTTAGTTGATCTAGAATGGAACCTAGAAATTTGCATTTAACAAGTCCCCAGATGATGTTTATGCTGCTAGCTGAAGGATCAAACTTTAAGGACTACTGGTCTCTCTTTCTGTTGTTTTGTTTTTGTAGTATTGGGATTTAACCCAGGGCCTTTGCCCTGAGCTATATCCTTAGCTTTTTCTTTTTCAGACAAGAAATTGCTAAAGTGCTTGGGCAAGACTTGAACTTCAAATCCTCCTGCCTTAGCCTCCCAGAATTCTGGGCTCATAGGCATGCAGGCATGTACCACCACACTCGTGTTACTGGTCCTTTTCATGAAATCTTATTTTCTCTCTAATGTCCTATTTTGAAACTCTGTTTAAATCAGAAGTCTAGACCATATAGTCTAACTAAGTGTACCACCAAAAGCAAGATGTTTAATCTTTTTTGCCTATTTCATCAGCAATGAAGTGGGATTGGTGGTTCTGTGTGGCATAGGATGAATGACATAGTCCAATCTCATTTAAAAGAAACTACTTTTCAAAAGAATACTATCTAAATTATCAGTTGTGCACATCTGTGTGTAAAGTGAAGACTACTTTGACACAATCTTTTGAGGACACTACACTTTACCTTTAAAGTGAAAAATTAATAGGAGATGTCTGTATTTTTCCTCCTGTCCATAATGAAAAGGAAGATTGGTGTAAGAGGAAGTATACCCATGGAGAATGTAGTTAAAATCCAGATGACCCATGAGGGACCCTGTCCTTTTTGGCAGATAAAGATTTCCCTGCCACCTATTTAATGAATTAATTTTTTAAAAGAGCATAAATAAAAGAGAGTAATAATTTAAAGCTATCTGGGCACCTGAGTCTGTCAGCCCTTTTGGGCCTTGGCACCTAAAGGGGTGGGAGGGGGTTGTCTCTGAGGCTTAGAACGTGGCCTTCTTTGAGGCATTAGGGAAGCTCTGGCAGCCCCAGGAGCTAAAGGGCTGAGATGCCTGGGGCATTAGTCCATTAGATCCAATAAAAAGCCAGGGAAAAAAATGGCTGGTAAGTAAATTTGCTATTTCATTTGGTGCAAAAGAGAAGGCAAAACACCAGAATATTCAATGAGCCAAAGCACAAAATGTGGCGTGGACATGAATGCCGGCTGACCTCTTCTAAGGAGCATTGTTAAGCCTGAATGAAACTCTCAGTGCCGAAGCTGTTATACAGTAGCATGCATTTTTAAACCATGGTGATCCTTTTGTTTCTCTAATAGGTGAAGATGAGGATGAATTTGAGAATTTCATGATGCCTCTTACAGTCTCTTTTGAAACAGTATTACAGATATTTAACAACAACTTTAAACAGGAAGATGTGAAGGTGGGTTTGTTTTTAAACTGAGGAAAGACAATTTTGCTCTTTCTGGAATATCTAGATCCAGAATAAGGTTTTTACATATCTGTGTGTACCTCTTCAGATCTGTATGCCCAATTGCATGTGTCTTTGAGTTGCAGTTTTCATACCAGCACTTTCTAATTTCTTACACAATTAAACTTCGAAGTTGGCAAATGGCTTTGGATAGTCAGTTCCTGATTAAATGGCATAGATTTGTCTCATGTGGCAGTTGCTATCTTTTACAGGATATTTTTTTGAGGGACCTCACTTTAAATATCTCCGTTCCCTCATCTACCCTGCATGGTATGTTTCAACATACCCATATGGAGAAATACACAAATAAACATGCTATAAAACACTACATCTCTAAATATTTTTTTAAACAAGAATTTATATAAATCAAGACTTTATTAAATGGCTAGGCATATATGTATAAATAGGAGCTGGTCTTGAAGTATTGCATTCTTAAACTGAACAAAGTGATTAGGATAACTGATAGCTAAATAAGGTTTTTATGTGCCTGTGGGAGCCATATTAGGATTGATTTGACAAGTCAGTTCAGCTGTGGCAACAGTCATAATATCTAAGACAACATTATGTTTTATTAGTAAAATCCTTAAGTGTAGCAAGCTGTTTGTGACAAAACAGCCCCATATTTTAATATGGGGGATGGAAAGCACAAGCTCTGCAAAATAGAAAATAGTATCTCCTGAAATTATAATGTATCTGAGCTATTTAAACAGACTGACAATGATTATTATTTTTTAAAGATTAATAAAGGCACTCTAGAGAATGTAAGCACCTTTGTTGATGATACTTAGGTCATATTTTATTTTTATTTGAGTTATATCTGAATATTAACCATCTTTTGCATGGCTCCTCTTTACCAAGAAATATTACTAGTAAGAAGCCAAATAGAAAAATGATGGCCTTTGATGATATTTGCATAATTCTGCCAAAATCTAATTAGCCAAATGCTACACCTTTTAATTTAAAATAGAGCTTTTAAAATAAATGTTTATCAGGATGCCATAGTCATAAAATTTTAATACCAAAAGGGATCTCACAGAATTTTTGGTGTTCACAGTCTTGCTGAAATTCATCAGACTTTCCATCCATTTAACTTATTTTTTAGATGTCTTCCAGCTATTTTCACTGATCAACAAAGTCTTTGCAGCTTTAAGGTGGCCAATGCTACCTTTTATCAAAAAGGAGCAGTGAAATTAAGAAACACCATGTTTATAAAAATTACATTTGCCTCATTTGAAGATTTCATTATATTCCAAGCCTGTTTTGATGTAATCCCATCTAGTTTGATAGAAACCATCTTCCTAGAGTCATTTTTAATGGAGTTCCAGTGATATATCCCTAAACTAGCAAGTTCTTAACGACCCTGGAAAGTGACTGCTTGATTACACTTTAACGGTATTTGCAAATAAAATCACAAGTAATTAAGGGGAAATCTCCAGGCTTTTGAGCAAGTTTGATGCATGATAACTGCCTGATTCAGCTTCATCTAGAGTAATGCTGTGTAGGCAACAGCTACTGAGATCAATAGCAACGTAATGATAGTGGCAGAATTAAGTGAGTAACCTGAGAACTGTGCCTCAGAATGCATGCAGCTGCCACGAACCAAGGCCACACAGTGCACTCCGTGCTTCCGTCCTAAATGTTCATCAAAAGACGCCCTGCAGGAAAATGGAGTTAGATGCTCTTTATTGCTGATCGTGTCTCTTGCCACATTTATCAGGGAAATTGGATTAGCAGTTGGCAGCTGCAGGTAGACAAGATTCTGCAGTGATTAAATATGCAGCTTGGCTGCATTTGTTGTGACAGACCTTTAGTAAATTCTACTGTAAGCACCATCTGTCTAATTTGTATAAAGAAAACTTGGTGCTCTAAGCTACCGATAAAGAACTAAATCTGTTGCTTTATCATAAACAAAACTTTTGCACTAAATGCTTTTAAATGTAATTTATTAGGTTAAGGCTATTTTTCTATCATGATGAATAAATAATACATGCAAAAGTGCTTTCAGGTACTTCATTTTGCAAGTACTAGAGATAAAAACAGTCCTGTTTTGTTCTTCAATAAAGTATTTAGTATTCCAATCCACAGGAGGTGATGCTGTTAAAATATCTCTATGAAAATGCCACAGGACTGCCAAATTCATTTAATTTGCAGCCCTTACTAGGATTTTCTAACTCCCTATTTATGGACATTTTTCAAATGCAGATTTCAGGATGAACTTAAACATTATGGACCTATGTTGCCAAACTGAAATATAGTTTTGAAAAAAGGAAATGCTGCAACTCTTAAATTTATAGCTTTGTTTTCTTACTTAGTCCTAATAAAATTGAAAAGAACATTGAATTTTTGTCTTGGGTTTTTTCTCTCCAAAGTAAAGGGAAAAGGAAAAAAATACCTTGACAGATCCTGGCTCTGGAGTGTTACTTCAAAACATATGTTTTTCTGCCTTTAATTTTATCCATAGTAAAATATAGCCTGATACTTCCCTGACTCATGCATCATTTTTGATTTGGCCATGATGTCATCAGTTTTAAGGAAAATGAATGGAAACTTCTCAGAGGAAGAGGAGCAGTTAAATAGGAACCTGCTATCTTTAGTCCCTTCGTAAAAACTCCACAATGTTAAATTATTTAAAATCCTTGATTTTCAGCATGCGCACATTAAAAGTTTTCTCACTAAGTGCCAAATGTTGCAAACAGCACTTTAACAGAATGATTTTGCTTTGATCCCTGTAGCAGTTCCTGAATAATTTATCACAGGTTATTGCCTTAATTCTGGAGAGGGATAGAGCAATAAAGGCAGATGAAAACACTCCAGTTGAAACACCTTGGGGCCTGCTCATTCCTCTGACACGGCTCTTTTGTTGGAACTATTTAGAGGTTATTAAGATGTGTCTCCAGAATTAAGAGTATGCTGTAAGGATGAAGACAGCCATCTTAATTCTAAAGACAAAGCACAATGACCCTTCACCTCCTTTTTCTTTGTTGTTATTATATAGTAGAATTATGAGGATAATATTATAGCTGCCCCCAGTAGTGCCACTACAGTAAAGGTTCTGTCAGACTTTCCATTAGAAACCCTGTTTTGGGGGTCAGGGTGGAAGTAGCCGCATTTCAGCTGTTTCCCAGCCCATCCGTCTCACACTTGGCAAGCAGACAACTGTTCACCATGCAGCCGACTGAAGCACTCAGCATTTCTCCTTGAACTATCCAAAAGGAATCCATAGGATTAGATCATCAGACCTACGGTGCTCCACCAAACAACTCCACTAAAAATACAGGACCCTGTCACTTTTCAGATCAGTTTAGTGTTGTCCAACCACAAGAGAAGAAACTTTTAAAATAAACCTCTTTGTACTGTTTTAAATGAAATGGTAAACTGTGTTTCCTCTTTTCCTACATTTCAGTCAGACCATTCCTCACTCTCAAAATTATTTAGTAGCCTAGACAAGCTCCTAGTTAATACTTTTCCCATCCAGTAGCAGAGCTACGTGCATTTTGGCTGTCAAGAAAATACTTTTTAGTGTTGCATGCTGTGCAGAATAAATACAGTATTCTCAGCTCCTTGAAGATACAAAGTATTCTTTCAACATAAGAAATCTGTAAAATATTTTTGTGCATGTATAAATGTGCCAAAATGGAACCCATACGCACTAATTTTAAAAATGTGTGGAAAAAATATGTTTCTTATTCACATTAACGCTATACTTTCCCACTCAGGTGATTCTATTTAAAGCTTACATTTAGTTATTATATGGCTCCTCTGCTTTGTAGTAACATTTCCTAAAATAAACATTGACATAATTTTATGGCCACATTTTACTCCAATAAAATAAGTATAGATTCGAGTCAGAACACTTCCATTAATTTGACATCTTTTAAGAAAGAAAAGAGTTAAAAAACAAAATAAAAATTGTGATAGAAGAAAAATTAATCTTTCATATAATAACAGTAGTTTAAAATATTTTATTATCTCCCCAAATTTTTATACTGATTTAATGCAATCCCAGAGTATTTTACTAAAAACCCTTTGTACCAGGCAAAAAAAACAAAACTTACAGTTCTTATTCACTAGTTTAAAGTTAAATGGTGGATTCCTTATATGTTGATGGAGCTTCAGGTATTTGAAGAGTAGCCTGTAATCTGTAAGTGTATGTAATAAAAATAGCAAAAAGGCCACCTCACTGGTTGGTAGAGCTGAATGTAGAATCCATAGAATTGCGTAGACTACATTCGTAATAGAACTGTTAGAAGAAAGCTTCTTAGATGTATTTTGTTCTGGAAGCTGTGAGAAATGCGGAAAGCTGGTAAAGAGAAGCACAATTCCATGTAGTCTTTTTTTTTTTAAGCCCGCATAATAGGCAAAATGTTTTTTAAGAGTAGATCACATGAGGTAACTACAAGGAGGCCAGCTACCTATAGAAAAGATTATGGAACAAAGGGGTAAGACATTTAAAGAAGCACAAACAGAGATTCAGAGTTCTCAGATTGTGAATTCCAGGTAATGATCATTGTGTAAACTGTTAGTAAAAACTGAATATTCTTTTAAAAGACATCCAGAAATAATGAGTTGTTATTCAGGTAGAAAAGAAGGGAGGGTGAAAATTCCAGCTACTCTGACAGGTAAAATATTTTTTGCTAATTTCAAAGGTTGTTCAGCTGTTAAGATGAAGGTCAGGATTCATGGCCTTTTTAATGAAAATTTAAGCTTGGCAAGTTTTCTTTTGTTAGCAAGAAGTGAAGAAAGAGAAGATCTAATAAAAAGAAAAGTTCAGAGACTATTTTCTGCCATAGTATTTCTACTAAAACAGTATCTTCACAAATCAGTTCCACATCTCAGTTATCCCTTGTTCTGCTATTATGTTTACTTGTGCTCTTTGTCTGACATTCTAGCATCTGTTTGTGGGTTTTCTTTTTCTCTTCCCAAGCAGCATCCTAAAGATAGCTTAATTAAAAGTCTAGAGTACAAGTCAGATCTCTTTTATTCAAGTCAAGAGTTATTCTTTTCTTTTTCCCTCTAAATACTTATGGACTACTTAACAACTATCAGGTTCTTTTTTGCTAGACATTTTATATACAAGTTCATTCCTCACATGCCTCTCTGAAAGGGTTGTTATTAGCCCCTTTTACAGATGAGAAAACTGAGGCTGATAAATTGTCTATGAGTTAGGATTCAAATTCAGATCTTAGGACTAGATGTATGACCCTTTTCCTTACATCTTTTCCTTGCTTGAAGAATACACCTGCCATTCAGGGTATATCATAGAACCAGTAGTTCACTTAGCCAGTTTTAATTTGTCCTAAGTTATTAGGGATACTCATTATGAATATTTACATGCTGGAGCATTTTCAGGTACTCCAAACCGTATAGTGGGACTGGATTTGATGTAAGTTAATTTTGTTAAGATTCGTTTTTATTAAGTAATATCTAGACCCTGTGGATATCTATTTTGTGAAATTTGACAATATTCAGAAACAAAATATGTTAAGAATGTTAATGTTCATAAGCTATTGGAATTACAACTTAGCTCAATTTATAAGAAGCAAAGTGGAGTTGGTCAACAGATTGATGGTCTGTTTAAAGAGTCTATGGTTTTCTATAAAAAGGGATCTGAGCAAGGCATTTTAGCTAATGAATCAAAATCAGATATGTGGTCATTATTGCCTGATTATTACTCCATCTGCTCTGCGCTAACGTGAAAATCAATTACAGTGTCTCTTTCCCACTGACAGCGTATGTTGATCGGGCTGGCAAGAGATCTTCGAGGGATTGCCTTTGCACTGAACACAAAGACCAGCTACACCATGCTGTTTGACTGGATGTATCCTTATTACACTGTGACAATACCAGCTCTGTGCACAGAGGGATGCCAGGCCCCTTGCTTTCGTTTAATAGTATGGCACAGTAGGGAAGAGGAAACAAAGCTAAATGAACTAATGTGTAATCAGCTAAAAATTACAGCACAGTGGCAGCAGCGCAGATAACTGAGCACAGCATTTGGAGACCCTCAGAGAGGTCACTTTTTTTTGGTGCCATTAAATATTGACAACTTAAAAATCACTTCTCCCAGATGATTGTTTATGTTGAGGTTGCAGGGATAATCTGGCTAACGTCTTTACTTGGGATCAATGAATCTTACTGTTTGGCATTTTCGAGGATATTTGAATCTCTACTCCATCTCAATTAGCAGGGTTGAAAAGGGCATTTTATCTTTTTAATATTTAACTCAAGCTGCAATTTTTTGTTATGATGAAAATATTAATGAGCATGAACAGGAGAAAATAAATGGTCAGAAATTGTCATTAGGTATATAATTTAATACCACTATCAAGGATTATTACAGAAAGAAAGAAAAAAACAGACATGCCTCATCATGTTAGAGTAAAAAGAGCATGGATTTTGGTATCAGACACATGAGGCTTGAAATCCCAGCTCTTCAATTACTGTGTAAACCTTTCAAGTCATTTTACCTCTCTCAGGCTTGTTTTCATCATCCAAAAAAGGAAATAATCCAGTGTCATGGTTGTGACCATGAAAATAGGTTAACACATTTTGTATAACGTATGGTACCTTTGTAGTCATTCTAAATAATTACAACACTTTTAATGTTACTGTATGACTTGTCTTTGATCCTAACAGGGACAGATTATGTAAGTATAAATAATGACCATTTACTTTCTAAGGTGAACTGTTTCTCACTTGCTTTATTCAAATCTTTCTAATCCCAACTTCATAAATTGCAAAAGACAGTCTTTGTTTTGTTTTTTTTTTTTTTTTTTTTTGTTTTTCTCCGGTACCGGGAACCGAACTCACGACCTTGCACTTGCCAGGCAGGCGCTTTGCCGCTGAGCTAAATCCCCAGCCCCTAAAAGACAGTCTTTGAATTGTCATAAATTCTTAAAGACAGTCTTCAAGTGCTGTGCCACAGCCATGCCCCAAAACAACTAACTGGTGATCTGGGCATGTTTTAGGGAGAATTCTATGTATCATGAAAAGAAAAAAAAAATTTTTTTTTTCTTTTTTCCGGTACCAGGAATCGAACTCACGACCTTGCACTTGCCAGAAAGGTGCTGTGCCGCTGAGCTAAATCCCCAGCCCCCATGAAAAATTTTAAACATTAACTTGAATACTGCCTGCAGTTTTAGTTACTATTAAAGCCTATCATCAGATGTATGTGCCCAGGGAAGGGTTAGTGATATTTCCATGTCACTGAGGAACAAATACATGTTCCTTATAAACTTGTAATGTACATATACAGAGACTTTAAATTTTATGATAGAAAGCCTTATAATTCTTCTGACTATGAAGGATAAGCTGAAATTACATATGACCCTTTCATTTTCTAAATATAAGTTGCAAAGTAAAAACTTTTTCCTTTAGTTGGAAAATCATAAAAAGCTAATTTTGGCACCTTAAAATTGATGGTGCTCTGGAAACCAAGCTACAGCTCTAGGCTTTCCAGAAATTAGCATTTCATATTTTTGTTTTCAACAGCTTTAACCAAGAATCAAGGTCAGAAGCTTTCCTCTCAGTGTCAGAGAATAAATTCTGTTTTCTGTTTCTTTACTTATCTCCTTATGAGCACCTGTCTGAAATGAAACTTCTGTCCAGCAGATGGCAGAAAATAGCAAATGGAAAATCTTGGCCTTACTGTTTTGTTTTGAAATAGAAACCATTGTCTTCTCTATTTGACCATAGATGTTGAAGTTATTAGGGTCAGGGACAGAGGGTGAAGTGTCAGCTATGCAGGAAGCTGTGTTAGATTGCCAAATGCAGTGGTTTGATACTGGCCTTGCTTATAATAATTGAGTTTCAGTAGCAAATCAGCTTCCTTGGGAAAAGGCCAAAGGCTTTTCATAATTGTATTGACAACAAAATGAATATGATAAATGGTGTTCATTCAGTTGAGACAAGATTTATAGTTTCCCTTTGGGCAAGGAATGAAGAGCAAATGTTTATAATAATAGTAAAATTTGTTTAAAAGTTGCATTATTTGATAATTCAAAAAGCTTTATTAAAATATTTCAAAATACTTTAAGCAGTTTCAGGTGATAAAGTACAGGTTCTTTCCCAAGTATTCAAGTAATGCAAAAATGAATAAGTATACGATAAAAAAAATGGATATGAAAGTCATTTATTCTTCTTGAAATATTGATATGTCAAACCGTCAGTGATGATTCCCACATTACTGCTGGGGAAAGTTTATTTGCCTTTTATCCATATAAATGTGTGTTCTTTAATTTGTTATACAATCTTTAGCATGCAGAAGAAAGATTTCTGTAAGAACACATGTCATCTTAAAGTCAAAATGCATTTTATTTATGGTGATTATTTGATAAAATAGCATTTTAGTGGTTATCTATTTAATTCAAAAGCATTTCTATAAACACTGACTGCATTAACTGCTACACAAACTACACTGCTTATCACTATATTCTTCTAAAACTAAATTGCCTGAAACTACATGGCAACCATCTTGATAAATTGTTTCCACAACTAGAGAATTGAAGGAGAATCACTGATACACTTCTTAGCCCCTGTAGTGAGAACACAATAGGAAAACATCTTACTTGCAGTGCATCACCCTGTTTATGCAGTACTTTTGCAGGTCATATTTAATCTGAAGTATCAACTGTCTAGAGAGAAACTGAAAAAAGAAAAAAAAAGGATGTATCTTGACATTATTTCCTCACACTCAATCTGTTAATTGTTGTGATATGATCTTGAAGCTTACTATTTTTCAGTCAGGCAATCAATGCTCTTTATTAATATACAAAAGCACATTTCACAAAGGCAAGGAAAAACAATGAGATATGCAGTAGAACACAAACTTTAAATAGGACAGTCATATATTCCAGTTCTGGTTTTACCAATTAACAACCCGTGGATCTTGGGTAAGTTACTTAATGTGTCAAGAATCATAGTTTTCTCTTCAACCAGGCTAAAAATACTCACATCAGTTCTTTTATAAGAAATGTTGTGATTCTGTGATTATGTAAAGAACCTAGTACAGCATCTGGTACAAAGTAAGTACTCCACCAGTATGGTTACTTAATTTTCTAATGTGAAATGAGACAAGGAATCCCATTTGCTCATTTATTCATTGTATTAGGCCTCCTTTGCACAGTGTACTAGCTTTTAGAAAAATGTAGCTTACTTAGACACAAATCCTACTCCCTAAATGAGCTTATAGTGTAAGGGTCAGATACCTACATGAATTACTTGCAATAACCAATCAAAAGTGGCAAATGCCATAAAAAAAAAAAAAAAAAATAGGAAAGTGGTTGCATTTAGCTAGGGATCAAGAAAGGCTCTGTAAAGGAGAAGATACTGCCCTGAATCTTACCAAATAAGTAAGACTGAACCATGGAGAAATAGGAAGAGATGGATTTTCAGTTAGCCTACTCACCAGATTTAGGAAGGGGTAGTAGAGAAGATGTTTTATTATATAGATACCACATATTTCATGGCTTGAAACATAGGATTTATTTGGAACCCTTGAATGTCAAGCTGTAGAACATAGTATAGTGTATGGCCTATGGAGTAGGGTTTGATTGACTAATGAAGACTGAACTGCATACATATATACATACATGCATACACATATACATACATAAATACAACATCTTGCTAAATTGCCCAAGCAAATCTCAAGTTCCTGTTCTCAAGTGATCTTTCCACCTTAGCCCCTTAATTAACTGGGACTGCAGTATGTACCACCATGCCTGACAGAATTATATTTCAAGAAGAAAGCAATTGGTAATATCATAGTATATTACCATAGTATATTACCATACATCAGCAAGTATATTTTGAATGTCTATGCTGTGCCAGGCATGAGAAATACAGGAATGAATGATTGCTTTTCAGAAGTTCACAATCTAGTAGACATATCAAAGCTAATACAAACAATTAAGTATCAATGCATTATAACAATGATTCATACAAATAGCCATGAATGTACATGACGAAGAAGTGTTCTAGGCAAAACAAGAAGGCTTCCCAGAAGAAGTAGAAGTTGTCCTAAGCTTTGCAAGGTGGATAGGCATTTGCCAGACAGGAGCAGGAGGAAGTTTCCAGGAATACAGCTCTCTTCATGAACAAAGATACAAATGTTTGCATGTTTATGGAGCTAACCTTTATAAGCTCTAAGCTAGTGGACTATTTCTGTTCTGGAACCACATCCTTAAACCTTGATCTCCTAACTGTATAACAGAAATACTTACATTGCCTTCTAGTATATTATGATGCTTTCTCTACCGTGAAATCCTAGAGGAAAAGTATTAACTTTGTACTCATTACTGCTTGGGGTCCAGCATGTAGAGATTACTAATAACTGCTGAATGAATGAGTGCATGATGAATGGATACTTGAGTGGATGAATGCATGAATTGACAGTGGATGTTGTAAAGGAGCAAAGCTAATACTTTCCTCCTTCATATTTGTCATCTGCTAAAGCAGTGTCACATCATTAATGCCTTTGAATTTTCATTCAACTGATGTGGAATTCATTGAGAGGATCTTGTTAAAAGTAGCAGATCTGTGCCTCTTCTACCTAAGGGCTCCCACTCTCTTCCTCCTATCCATATATACACAGCCCTCACAAGGCCACTGAAAAATTAAACTTCTGAAGTGGATTTAGATTCTTACCCTGTAATCTGAGCCTGGCACTCACTCTGAAGCTCTTTTAACCTCTCTGCTTAGTAGGCCTGTACTCTGCTTTCCAATAATCACTCATTTTCTCTGTGGCAGTCACCTCTGTCAGGAGCATATTAGAATCGTCACCACTCTCATGCCACACAGAAAAGGGAGCATCCTCTCATATCCCCTGGCCTTTTCCCATAGTGAGTACAATGTGCTATGAAAAATATGATAGTTCTAATGCCTTTGGAGTTCTTTGCAAAGGGACCTCTATATGCTTATAATATTCTTAAGTTCTCAGATTCAGATCTTCCCAGTTTCCAGATGAGCCTTCTCAATGTTTTTTCACTAGTAATGCCTGGGTTTGTGCTCAGGAAATCTCTTTGTGGAACACTTTCTCACCTGTGTTCCCCCGGCGGTACTTCAGAGAACTCTGACCATGCAGCCCTTGTATATCTACCACCCTGATAAAGCATAAATTCCCCCAAGAATAAAAGCCATGCCTTCCTAACTCTAGGTCCTTGGCCTCCTAACATGGTACATAGCATAGCACAGTCCACCATCTATTAAAAATAACAGCTTTTCCAGTGCATAGAAAAAGCAAACTAGTAAGTTATCTGACAGTAGTCTGCATAAAGTTAATAATCAAGTTCATTGACTTTATCATTTTTATCTGAGACCTCACCCACACATACACACTTACTTGTGATCTGCATTCCATATTTAGTTCTTCGTAGTACTTTCTACCATATGCACATTTTACTTTCTCTCTTATTAGAACGTGAATTCCATAATGGCAGGAATTTTCCTAATGTCTTATTCCTTGGTGTCTGCAGGGATTCTAAAACAATGCTTGTTACAAAGTAGGACTTCCTCCTCTGTACTTGTCACAGAAATTGTCTCAGTATAAATAAATACAGCCTAACATAGTAGCTCTAGTAGCAAAAACTGTTCTTTTTAGGGGCTATGATACTCTTAAATTTTTAGAGGACTTACTTGAGAGACTTTTTTGATGTCTTTTGACAAACTAGAGAAGATATCCCAGTGCAGGTGAAACCTGGACTAAATACTGAAAGACAGACCTTCATTAGGCAGAAGAAAGCAGTATATAGAGGAATGGAGACAGGTTGGTGTCAGATGATACGCAAAGGGGTTAGGAATGACTGAACTGTGGACAGAGTAAACGTACTTAGAGAAGAGGCTAAAAGTAGGCAGGGAACACATACTAAAGGACTCTGTATGCTATATTAAGGAACTTGAAATCTATTGTAAGAGAAGGGAAAAAATTGGGGGGGAAGTTTGTCACCATGAAGCTCTATACATACCATGGAAAGGAACACCATTCAGTGATTCAGTTCAGCACTTTCATATGCAACAAAGAGCCATGTACATGGGAAAACATCAGAGAGAGATTTGAGGAGTTGAAGAAAGAAAATGAAGGCACTGACATGGAATTCTTCTGTAGTAGTTTTAGGCCCTAATCCTATATTTTATATGTCTATTCAGCAGGCCAGTTGTGGGCTAAAGCACCAGGGCAGCTGAGTCAGAGATTTCCAGGTTCTACTGGCCCAAGGCATAGGCTTACCAGAGGTATTTACTCCTTGATATTAATGGCAATGTTTGAGAAATTCTTCTTGCATGTACTTGGGAGTGCCTTTTAGCAACACTGACCTTGAGTAGATTAATAGTGAACCAGAGCTTTTTTTCAAGCTAACATTTCAGAAGTTTCTTGGAGCTACAGTGGAACAAAGCAGAACAAGTCTTCAGCTTTAAAAAAAATGAAGGTAATTTTGAAGCTGGAGATAGATGCATGAGATTTATTGTTACAGTTTCTCTCTCCTTTTATGTATTTTTTAAATTCCATAATAAAAATTTTTCAGTATAGTGCCCAAGAAACCCTGATAATGATTTAAGTGTTTCTATTCCTTCTTAACTAAATTTATTTTCCTTTCCTATAACATTGATATTAACATTACAATATTTTAAAATTGTATCTTCCATTTATATATAATACCAAGAATAAAGCAATATAATCTATAGGGTATGTTACAAACAAGCAAATTATTTGCAGACTCCCAATAACTATAGTTGTACAGGTTTAAAAGAGTAATTTATAAAACTGCCATTGTGTACTAAACACAGAATAACCATGAATTTTCTTATTTTTAAATGGCATTAATTTTAGGAACAATATTTTAATCCTTAAATTCTTTAACGGACTTTATAAAAGGTACCCAACGTATCTCCCCGTTCTTCAGAGAGCTATTGAACAGTGGTATGGAGAGCCAGCATGTACAACTCCCATCTTGAAACTTATGGCAGAACTGATGCAAAACAGGTAAGCACTGGGAAAGGGAGTGGAAAAACAATTTACTGTAGGCAGTAATCTCCGTTCCATAGGTCAGATTCCTTACTGTTGTGTGTATACTCAGGCTTAGTAAAAGCCTAGGAACCAAAATTTAAGCTCATTAGTGAAAACAAGAAGATTAGAGACATAAGATGAGAAAAAGAGGGTGATAAGGTATAATGTTTATATGTGTATACAAAGTTAGAAAAGAAGAAGGAGGTATAGAATACTTAGACATACATGGAGACTTTGCAAAAGAAAAATTGGAAGACTACAGTCACCATTACTTTAAAATATTTGAAATCACAAAATGGAAAGAAAGGCAGCCATTTTAACTATTTCACTACTTAACTGCTATTCTGTAGAATTTTAAAGCAGGAAAAAAGGTTAGTAGGTTCTGAGTTGAGATGTTTTATTCTATACATTAGGAAACAGTTCCAGAGCAGTTCATGAGCACACAGTTGTTTGCTTTAGGAACTCTAGGGATTTGTCCCTGCTTTGACTTGTGAGTTACACGTCTCCTCTATGCCAGAATGCAAGTATTCAGATGATTTATGCACTCAACAATTTTCAGTGAAACAGTAACCACAATACTTCTCAGAAATTACCTACTTTGCCTTGGAATTTACATAGACCAGCAGAGATTCAAATATTCTGCATATAATATTAATAAAGATATGACGAAAAGAAAAAACTGCAACAAACTAATTGTGTTTACCTCTTTAAAATATGACATTGTGGATATGGCTTAGCACCAAATTACCTGTCACTTAGCCATCTTGTTTCATCAATGCCTCTTTGTAAACAGCATCTTGGAAGGGAGATACCCAGACAGAGCAGCTCTAATTTTATCTCAGTTGCTGAGCTGTTCACAGCAACAATTTAAAATTTTTACCCTAAAACAAGAGGTGGAAAAAGACCTGGCAGATAAAGAAATGTGAGTATTCTTTTGAAAGCTGCTAGTTGGTTTTTTTTTAAATTCTTACAGGTACCTTAAATATTAAAGGAAAATTGACTGTATTTTATATTAGAATTTTAGTTTGTTTTTTTCATTAAATGGCAACTTTTTATCATATATTGATTGGTATTATATATTACTGATATGATAATACTAAAGGAAAAAATTATTACATTGTATATAGTATTTTATGTCTATCATAAGCAGATAATTCATGTCCAAAACAAATGTCATAGGAGTTACCTGGTAAAAATTTTTTATCTCAAAGAATATGTTATCTTGTCTATGTTTCACTAGAATCTAAATGCAAATTATATGTGTGCATTTCTTTAATCAGGAACTGTATGCCTATTGGCATGCAGTTGTCAAAAATCAAAATAGTTATCAAACAATCATATTTTTAAGACATTATCATTGCTATATAGTACTAAAGTATTTTGGAAAGGCACTAAACTGTTCTATTCCTGGCAAGCAGGGCTTTACCAATTTTTAAAAATATTTTTGCTATTTTTTTTCTGAAAAGTGATCTTGAAAGCACAGCAGCAAGATATAGCAGAGCCATCAACAGCCAGGGTGATTGATGCCAAAAAGCAAATGTGATTGTCAGGGCAGCTCCTCCGTCCTTTACTTTATCCATGCCCATCCAGAACCCGGGAGACAGAATTATTCTGAGGAGCTCCTGGCATTTGTTTCTCTTTACTTAAGCAGTGTGCAGTGGAAACTATAATCTGTAATGTAATTTAATGTATTTAAAATACACTTTTGAAGTATGAGATGATTCATTATGTGTTTATGCAGTATTAAAGGTACCTGCGTTTCCTGTCTGTCACTTCAGAATTTTTTAGGAGATGTCAAATGTGTAAATCTATCTCTAGTCAAGTATCCATGTAACCTTACAAATATACAATGGGTTTTTTTCTTAGTTACTGTTACCCACCAATCAATTTGCATGAAAGGAGAAGGGATAAGATATATGTGATCTAGGATGCCAGGATACTGTATTGATAGAAAAAAAAAAATGAACTCTGAACTAGAAAATAAATGAAAATAACTCTTAATTACAAAGTATCTTTACAGTGAGAAAATTAGTGTACATATTTTATTAAGTATTGTTGATTGCAGTGATACTTCAATGGATAATTATATGTGGCTGCTTCTCATAAATGAAAATTCTGGACATTTTAAGCCTGTATTTGGGTTTTCTCCTGTACATATAGTCTAATTTTTTGCTATATTTCTTAGGTCCCAGCGTTTGAATTTTGATGTATCATCTCCTAATGGAATTCTTCTCTTCAGAGAAGCTAGTAAAATGATTTGTACTTATGGTGAGTACCCTATTCCATTATTTGTCTGTGCAGTATATCTTTTTATCTTTGGGGCAGAGAAAGATGTTACTTTGTGCTTTTGAACTTTCATATCTGTATGAATTTGGGAAGTATGCAATAGATAAACAAAACCAGGTAGCTTCAGTCCCCGGCAATACCACCACAAAAAAAAAAAAGCCAGGATCACGTTGGCATCAGAACTAAGGCAGCATGCCTGGCTAACTTGATACATTTCTTTTAGATAAATTGCAGTGTCAGTAGGTAAAAGGAATATACTAGAAAAAAACATTTGAAAGTTACAGCATATTCAAAATTGCTCACAGGGAATTTGCTATCTTGAATCAAGAAATTCTTAGACCTGTATGTCACTGAATTCAGAGGAAATATCCTTGTAAAGAGCAGTAAATATTTTATTACAGGGAACTTTCAGGCACTACACCCCTAGAAACAAAATTCTACAGTAAAACTTACCCTTTGGGATCACAGCCCCCAAAGTTTACAATTTACTTAGCAGTTTTGGCCTAAGAACTACCATAAACCCTAATATTTGGCAATTCTGACAACTTGATCAATAAAATTCTCTATTTTCTGAGACTTTTATGTAGCCAAAGAATGGGGATAAGATGACACGGATCCTTTGTAAACTAATTTGGCATACACGGATGCCCACTGTGAGCTGAGCTCTATGCAGTGAATTTCTCCCTGAGAAATGTTTCCTTGTGATCTCTTTTTCTTCATCCAGTTTCTGTTTCACCTGTCTATTCTTACTTTCCCAAATCCATAGCCAATTCTGTATATTTGACCTCAAAAATTGCCTGTGATTTTCCTATTTGAGTACTTAAAAACAGACTTTATCAAATTTTTTGAAGCCAGTTTAATTCTGCTTGTATAGCTGTATGTAGGAATAACCATTAAAATCATATTACATTTTTCAAAAGCCTATTATTTTCTTAAAAATAGATGTTTTCATTTATCTTCAAAATACATTCTGTTACATTATAAACCTCATTAAAATGCTTAGTTTTATTTGCACTTTTGATTTGTAGAGCTTGAGAATTATACATGTGTGGAAACGATGGAAACCACCTCTTTAAGACAATAAATTTGGGCTGGGCGTGGTGGCGTACGCCTGTAATCCCAGCACTCGGGAGGCTGAGGCAGGAGGATCATTGCGAGTTCGAGACCAGCCTGGGCTACAAAGTGAGCTCAAGGCCAGTCTGAACTGCATAGCAAGACCCTGCCTCAAAAAGACAAAAAAAGAAAAAAGACAATAAACTCATGCGCTCATTTTCATCTGCCATAACTATATCACCACAACTCTTACATCTGAAAATCATATAAAGTAGAATACTTTGCCTCCTAGAGGTAAAAAATGAAACTCCTTTTAAATATTCTAAATACAGTTTACCTTACTTTCAAATGTACAATTCCGGGGATATGAATTCTGCAACCAGAATTGTGGAAAGAATTAAATTTGTGAAGTGAGGTACCTTTGTAGTTCTTTTCAGTGTCTAATTATACTAAGATATATAGTGGAGCCTTCTTCCAAAAATGAAGACACAGTTTTTGGAGAATAAAAGGCATGATAACTAATGCTAACTAATGCTAGTACCAACATGCATCAGCTGCACAGCTTTGACGTAGATACTACACCTCTTTTTGTCTAGTTTTCTCATGTAAAATAAGGAATAATAAATCCCTACTGATCTGCCTGCCTAGTTAGGATTATCAGGCTTATTTGAGTTACTGTAGATAGAAGGCCTGGCACAGGGGGTACCATGCAACAGGTGCTCACTGAATGTGCTTTTTAATCCAAAGCTATTTTCTTACACTTACCAAGCCACTCTTCTTCGGACAGGGCTACACCGCCCTACATCACCATTACTCCAGGAAGCCTTTTGCTGAGACCATACTGTTTTGCTGCCTTTCTTCTGCCTGTAGCCAGTGTTGAGTTCCTGTGTCCTTACTTTTTTAGATGAACTAATAATTCCCTCTATGAAGTAGTGCATATGTGAGAATCAATAATCAATACAGCTTTTAGTATAGAAATGTTAATTTCCTGTTACCAGTCAGTCATTATCTTCCCTCCCGTTTTTCTGGATAATTTCTTTCATTAAATGTAGTTTTTCCTCTGGGACTTGTTCATTACTTCAGAAGGCCCAATAAGGGCAGTCACCTCTTCCTCTTGTTCCTCTAGGACATGTATGTACACAGGTATATGTGTGTCCAGCATGTGACACCAAATGGAGTCTCATAAAACAGTGTCAAATATGCTATGCTAGCCCAAAAGCTATCCAATCTTCTGTTATATTGTCTGACATAGACAAAGACATTGCAGCAAAAGTGGGAAAAGATAACTATTGTAAAGAGGAATGATAAAGAGATAGAGGAATAAAGGGGACAGGAAGGGAGAGAAGAAGCAAGGTGGAATGACAAAACCAAGGAATTCTTAAGAAGGAAAGCCAGTGAAGTGTTCTCTTACCTTGAAGAAAGATAGCAGTTTGAGTAAGGCTCTGCTTTTCAATTTATACTAAGTATTGGTAGCTTCCATTGTTTAATCAGCTATTATGTGTCCACGCCTACATTAGATCATTTATCATACATTAATTACCCTGATGAGTCCTCAGGGTAGGTATTATTATCTGCTACTCACTAGTTTTATGACCTTGGCTAAGTTGCTTAGCCTCCTTTGCTTCAGTTCTTTGTTAAATGAGGAGAATAGTATATACTTTATAAGGTGGCTGTGAGAACTCAATTAGATAATGTATACAAAGTCCTGAGACCAGTTAGCCACTGTGATTACTGTAGCTAACAAGAAATTGAAATTGAAGCTCATAGAGGCTAAGAAGCTTGTCAGATATTACAAAGCAAGCAAGTAGTTAAATTGGAATTTCATTCAAAGTCAAGACAACCATACACAATAGTCTTTATTCCTTACTGCCTCTTAGGAATGCTGTAGAATATTATACTACACCTTGAATGTTTATGATGAAGTACTGTTCCCTGAAGTTTTCCTGTAATCCCAAAATGTAAGAGAAATCAAAGGTTTGAAGGGAAATCAAAAGTTGAATGGAAAAAACATATTATTCCATGTGAAGTCCATGTGTCAGTCACTGTGACTTTGACGTGTGGACTTTACATAGGATAATAGAAAAATGCCTCACAGCTTCCACTGATTTCAATCCTGGAATCTATCACCCAGGCTTATTTGTCTGTGTTTACCTGAGCTCTTACCTTTAGAGAGTCTAACATGCTCACTGGAAGGAGATCGTGTGGTTCCCATCCAGGAGTCTAGAAGATGAGGGAAAGAGTAATTGGAAAGATAACAGCAGAGCCAGCATTATTTATTTCTTTGATAAGCAAGGGTGAAGGAAAGGAAAATCCATGGAGGAAAAGGCCAGAACATTCTGTGATCCTTTCTGTCCCCATACCCACTGGATTTCTTCTCTGCTCACCTCTCCTGGGCAGTATTTGGGTAGTCGGTGATTAGGGCCCTGCAGAGGGGGAAAGACTCATTGCCTAATGTATCTGACTTGTTATATGTTTCACAGAATACCCCCACCTCACTGCTCTATGAGACTGGCAGAAAAATAATACTTTTGATATGCTGTTTTATTTATCTACATTCTGTCATGATATACTTTGATGTAAGTTTTTAATTTTGCCTCAGCTCTCAGCTGCTCTTGCTGTTACAGCTCAGGGTCAGCAATGAGGTTAGCCACAGTAGCACAAAACAATTTCCTGTTTGTACAGCCCAGGTAACATTTGGATGAGGATTAAATTTTACCACATTTTCTACTAGCCCAAGCCTATTATTTCTAATGAGTTTTAAATTGCTTCAAGAACATGTATTTCAAAACTTAGTGCTATGATCCGTTCAGCCTGAGCAACTTAATAAAAGAAATTTCTTTCTTAAATTTTTGGTTAAAATGTTGCATGCAGTGTAATAAATGTTATTACTTTGGAAACCTACTTCTCAGTTTTAAGAACTGGATGTTTTTTATGCTCAATTTCCATTTGTCTAATCTTTTCTTCTTTTTGCCTCTGGCTACTGGTATCTGTAGTGACATCTGTTGGTTGAAGAGTGCGCAGAAGGGAGAGATAGTGATCGCTTTCCTAAGACTGGGCAAAATGGAGCTCCTTTTATTCCTTCTATAGGACCTGATTTCAGAAAGCCCAGTGTGTGAAATTTAAAATGATTGAGCAAGCTACAATTATTCAGTATACTTAAGAATTTATATCTTTTAAGCCACATGTTCTAAGTACATTTAAGATATAACAATAATATGCATAAATGGAGTTTGTAGCATGTTGTACAAGCCACTGTTACTCCTTACAACCCAGATAACAGATCAGTGGCTTGCATACTGGGGTTTACAGAGCCCTAGAGGTCTGTGAAAGTGCCACAGAGACTCTAGAAAGGAAGGGACCTGGTGTCACTCTGATCCAAGCCATCCAGTTACATATTTGCACTAGATTTATTGGTGAAAGGTGTCACCTGTTATGAAAAATGTTTAAAAGAGTATGAAAATTACTGGCATATGCTATTACTGTAGAAGCATTGTAAGAATCGAGAATTATCATATATTTATATTAAAATGATTGCAAGAAAATGATTATAAGAAAACTGCATGATTACATGAAAACTGCAGTAGTTTTCAAATAACTAGAGGAAAAAATTTTAGCAGAAAACTACAGTTCTTGAATCCAGGAATCGTAGGTACGGCCTTTGATCTTACCAAAAACTTTGTTGAAGATATAGGTGAAAACAAACTAGCAAAAAGTAAAGCTCACAAAAGTCATATGAAGACAATGGAATGATTACCATGTGGAGGATTGCAAACTAAGATCAGGTCACTTACAGAAGAAGGCCTTGTGAAATATATTTCCACTGTGAATCCAGGAACTTTTTTGTGTTAGAGAATCCCCTTTTATCCCCTCACATTTAGACTGAATCTCTTTTGCATGCGGGAAAAAAAAAAAAAAAAAAGACTAATGGA